CCAAACCAGCCCCGGTCTTGAGAGCACATCTGGACATCACCCCAAACCAGCCCCAGTCCCAAGAGCACATCTGGACATCACCCCAAACCAGCCCCAGCCCCTCACCTTCCTCCACGGTGGAGTCCAGCTGTGTCACCTTGATGACCAGCAGGTCCACCCTCTCCTGCAGTGAGTTCATCCTCATGTAGAAGCTGTTGGCTTCGTTGAACAGCTCTCCAAAAATGTCCTCTGCGTGCCTGCCTGGCAGGGGACAACGCGCCTGTCACTACAGCAGGTGACTCACCCAGCTCAGCCCATCCCCAGCACCTCCCCTCTGGCTCCCTAGGGTGCTCTCCCCAGCCTGGATTTCTGGGAGCTCAGCCTCATCCTCTCCCAAAGTGTTTCATGGAGGCAGGGGAGCCCAAACCAGCACCCCTTTCCAGTGAGAGCCCCACGGGGGCACAGAACATTCACAGTGCCCCAAAGAGCCCTTGGATCCATCGGGACAGGTCAGCCAAAAAAATGAACATCACACAACATGACCTGGGGAAACTCAGCCCAGAAAGCCAAGAACAGGGCAGTGGGGACAGTGCCACAGCAGGGAGAATCTGCAATTTGTTTCACTTTATCAGTTCTTTTCCTGCCTCTCTCAGTGCATCCCTAAAACAGCTTATTTATTTAGGGTTATTTATTTAGGATTATTTAGCTTTTTCTTGGAGTTATTCCTATCACGGAGCTGAGTGAGGTGTCTGGCAGAGCATTACTGATACCTGTAGGTTACAACACCAATCCTACCCCATCCCATCCCATCCCATCCCATCCCATCCCATCCCATCCCATCCTATCCCATCCCCTCACATCCTCAGGGTTTCCTCCAATCCCACCTATCAAACAGTTCCCAAGATCAGGGCACTTTTAAAACCCCCTCAGAGCATTCACCAGCTTGGTAACATTTAATTTCCTTTTCCCCTGGACTAGGAAGCTTGAGCAGACCTGGGTGCTGCTCCTGTGAGCCACTGCACTTCCAGCAGCTCCCTAAATCCTGGGTTTATTTTTCTGGGAGTATTTTAGAGCAGAATCTACTTCTGCAGGTGTGTAAAAGAGGGGGAGCCCTAAATAGCATCTCTGTTTTAAGTGGATATTTAACATGAAATAGGTTGCCCCCGTTAAACCTTCACCCTGGTGTGTGCAGTGCTCTCATCTGCCCCTTTTCTGCTGAGATCAGTCCCAGGGCAGGAAGACAGCTGAGGATTTAGACCTTTGATAGAGACCTCCCTTCCTCAAAAAGCTCTAAGTTTAAAAATAATCGCTTAGAGTATTTTAAATCTTCGCCTGACCTTCCTGTTTCTGGCCAGGGGGAAAAGCAAGGGGCTTCTGAAGGCTTTCTGTCCCCCAGCTGTGGGAGGAAAATGGGTCCCAAAATGTCACCAAGTCCCCATTTTGAGTTTGGCCATGAGCACCCTCCTGTTTTCAACAATCTGGATAATTCCCACTGAATTAGGAGTGGCTGCAGCCCACACGGCTCTCACACAATCCCTGTTTCTCTGTGTTTGGAACTGCTGGGAGTGACTGTGGCATCCAATGCCATCCCAATGCCATCCCATTGCCATCCCATTGCCATCCCATTGCCATCCCAGTGCTATCCCATTGCTATCCCATTGCCATCCCAGTGCTATCCCATTGCTGTCCCAGTGCCGTCCCAGTGCTATCCCATTGCTGTCCCAGTGCCATCCCAGTGCCATCCCATTGCTATCCCATTGCTATCCCATTTCCAATCCCAGTGCTATCCCATTGCTGTCCCAGTGCCGTCCCAGTGCTATCCCATTGCTATCCCAATGCCATCCCTGTGCCATTCCAATGCCATCCCAGTGCCAGCCCACACCAGGGCTGCTGTGCCATGACTTACTGAGGCTGCCCAGCTGTTTGATGATGGCAGCCAGGGTGCTGTTGGTGACACATTCCAGCTCACTTGTCACCCCATCAGGAAGGGCCCCCCGGCACAGGTGCCGGGGCTCGATGTTCCTCTTCACCAGAGGCATGGCGAGCCCTCACTCCTCTCCTGGAGCTGACAAAGAAAGGAAAAATTAAAATACTCAACTTTTACCATTTACCTGTTCCCCCCACATCCCTCATGGCAGGCACAGCAGGACTTTTCCGAGCAGGGGATGCTCTGGGGGTGCAAACCTCGGGGTTCCAGGGTGGAGGTGAGGACTTTGTCCCTACCTTTGTGCCACCGTGTCCTTTCCCACTCACTTCCCAGAGCTGTGCTCAAACCAGGAGCAGACTCCCCTGTGCTGCAGCCCTTCAGCTGGCCCCGAAAAGCCTCATGCAGCCCAAACAGAAGCGAGGAAGCGCTTGTAATGCCATTATTTCCAGCTCACTGCAGGCTCTCCAGGGTTTTATTTGTGCACACACTACACTGAGACAAGCTGCTCTGGCCAGCTCATCCCAGATCCCTGCATGGCCCCCCAGCATCCCTGGGTGCCCCCATAGTTCCTGTGTGCTCCCACAGCATTTCTGGGTGCCCCCATAGCTCCTGGGTGCCCCCACAGCATCCCTGGGTGCCCCCATAGTTCCTGTGTTCCCCCACAGCATCCCTGGGTGCCCCCATAGCTCCTGTGTGCCCCCACAGCATTTTTGGGTGCTCTCCTAGCATCCCTGGGTGCCCACATAACTCCTGTGTGTCCCTACAGCATCTCTGGGTGCCACAACATCCCTAGGTGACCCCCCAGCATCCCTGGGTGCCCCCTGAGCTCCTGTGTGTGCCTTCATAGTATCTTTGGGTGCCTCCCAGCATTTTTAGGTGCTCTCCGAGCATCCCTAGGTGCCCACATAACACCTGTGTGTCCCTATAGCATTTTGAGTGTCCCTCCAGCATCCCTCGGTGTCCCCATAGCTCCTGTGTGTGCCCCCACAGCATCTTTGGGTGCCTCTCCAGCATTTCTGGGTGACCCCTGCTCCACTGTCCCCCCGCTGAACTGGGGATGGTTCATTTTCTACAGGGTTTAAGGAGATGAAGGGAGATCCCCACACCCAAAGGCCCCCCTGAGGGCACCCATGGGAGCTGCAGGGAAGGATGGAGGGGCACCACGGGGTGTGGGGTGCTGGGGACACGGTACCCCGCTGATGTAAAGGGTGAATGGTGGGAAACAGCCTGGGAAAGGAGGCAAAAAAAATTTATTATCCACAGTGGTGTCTCCTGGGACTGGGACATGGACACAGACCCTGGGACTGGGACACAGACCCTGGGACTGGGACAGGGACACAGACACTGGGATATGGACACAGACCCTGGGACTGGGACATGGACATAGACCTTGGGATTTGGACTGGGACACAGACTCTGGGACTGGGACAGGGACACAGACACTGGGACTGGGACAGGGACACAGACACTGGGACTGGGACAGGGACACAGACTCTGGGACTGGGACACGGACCCTGGGATTGGGACTGGGACACAGACCCTGGGACTGGGACACGGACAGGCAGTGACCCCACAGGCTCACACAAGAGGGTTTTAGGTGCCACCAGTGCATTCGGGCTCAGCTCAGCCCTCAAAGCAAAAGCGAACTGATAGCTGGGCTGAGCAGAGAGCACCACCAGCATTCCCAGAGAGCAGAATCCCCCTTTTCACGTCCCCACCCGCCCCATCTTTCCGAGAATTTTGGCAGAAGGAAAAGCAGCTCCCGGTAATCGCCGGGAGCGGAGCCGCCGGGCGCCGACATGGGAGCCAGCGATTCCGCCCGTGAGCGGAGCCAGCAATCTGCAGAGTTCACATTTTTTGGCCCCGGCAGCTTTAGACGGAACAGTTTCCCATTGATAGCACCCGGCCAGCGCTCCCAGCAGCAGCAGCAGCTCCTCCGCTGTTTTCAAATGCAAATTCAAGCTCCCTGCATGAAAAGCCCGAAGCCTTTTCCTAAGGGCTGGGCTCTGCCCAGGGCACTCGGGGTGCCAAGGGAGGGACCCCGGTCCTGAACCCTCCGCAGGTTCGGGCTCAGAGCAGACTCTGTGTCCTCCAGCGCTTCCCAGAGTCACTGCTCACGGATGTGGTGCTGTCCCCGCCTCCCAAAAATCAAGATTTCTGCCAGCTGCTCATTCCTCGGTGACAGCATTTGCAGGGGAGGCTGTGGCCGTGTACAACCCCCTTTCCTGGGCACCCCAAAGAGCTGAGCAACCCTGGCAGCTTCACCCCGAGCTGCTTTTATGTGTCACCCCAAAATGTGCCCTCAGAGGCTGAGCCCTGGCACGTCCCGGGGCTGCAGAGACTGCAGGGCACAGGGCAGAGCCCTTAACGAGCTGCCTGGGCCCAGCAATTAGGAAAGGGGAACAAAGAGCCATTCTCAGCATCCCTTTGGGCCACAGCCATGGGACATGGCCACTGACACAGCCAGGGCACCCAGGGCTTTTTGTCCCTGCACAGGGGACCTGGGGGGAATTGGGGCCACCTGAGCCCGCAGCCCCCACAAGGACCCTGGAACAGAATGAAGGAAAAAAAAAAGGGATTTGTGGTTTGAAATTTCTCGTCAGGGACAGATTGGAAGAGAGGCAGGAAGTGGGTGAGGGGTGTGATGGCAGACTGTGCTATGGGAGAGCATCCCTGGAGGAGGAAAATCCCTTTAATTTCACCCCAAAGAGGCCAAACAAGACTCGGAGCTCGCAGTAGAAGGAGCCAAGGAGGAGTTGGGCACATTTTCATGCAAGGACAGCCTGTAAAGGCAATTTTGACCAACCCACAGGAGAATCTGCTTTCCAGACCCACCCCAATAAATGGAGCACGGGGATCAGAACCCCTGGCAGCCCTCCCCTGACAAATGTTCTCTCAACCTGCTGCACCAACAGCACCAAACCTCTGACTCCTGCCCTGAAATCCCAACTTCTCACCTAAAACCTGTCATCTCTAGGCCTGCCCTGACACGTGGGACCACAGTTCTCTGGGTGAGGATGGGCTGTACGTGACTCCAGAGAGACCAACTTCATTTCTGTCCTCTCTGGCACGTCTTGCTCACACCCACCAAGAGGCTGCCCCCAAATCCTGAGCACTGATGGCCTGGCCAGAGCCTCAGAAGGGGACGCTGAGCTGTGCCCAGCACTGCTCCTGCTCTTGCTGGTATTTCAGATGATGTCCAAGACTTCAAGGGAATGATTTTAGGTGGCAAAATCTTTTCCTCAGACCTTCAGGAAAAGGCTCCCAAGGGCAGGGATCATCTGGGTGCAGGCTCTAGGATGATTTACAAAACTAAAATCTATGGGATTTCACTGTCTCCTGAGTGGAAGCCAGGAGCCCTCAGTGGGAGGTGATGTCAGGATGCAGGAGGAGAGAAATGGGAGCCAGAAACTCAGCAGGAATTTCTTGGAGGGTGAAGGCAGGAGAAATGGGACCAGCCAGGAGCTAGTTCAGGTTTCAGGTGCACTGTGGGGCTTGTCCCATCACTCAGCTTTTCCCTGTGACTGGAAAGAGCCAACAGCCCTAAATGCCACAGGTGAGGGGAGACACACCCACCAGCTTCACCTGCTTCCCAAACCCAATGGTGGAGCTTGGAAGGGAATCACATCCAGCCAAGGTGACCAGGCAGGGGAGGACATGAGACAGAAATGAGCTGTTTCTTGTGCCCTAAGACGCTGATTTCCCCCAAGGAACAAAATCCCCAATCCAGAGCTGCTGGCAGCACTGAGGAGCAGCCCCTGCTCTCCCAGAGCAGTGAGTTCTGGGCAAGAAGGGCTGTCCCAGTCCCTGTAGACCAGGCTGGGGGTGTGATTTGCTGGCCCATGGGTGACCCTTCCAGCTGGCTCCTTCCAGATGTTATCCCTCACCTCAGCAGCCAGCAGATCTGGTAATTTACATCCCTGGGGTTCATCAGGGCAGAAAAGCAGCTCTCGTTTTGCAAGAAGGTCCAAAAAAAGGAGGTTTTTGTCCAGCCATTGCTCCTTACATTCTTTGCAACAGCTTTTCACTGTGCCCTCATCCTCCTCCTGCCCCAAATCCACTCTCTCCCACTGGGCTGTGATTTACAACCCTGTGGGCAGATCCAAAGAAGGACCAGGTGTGCTCTGGGTGGCCCTGCAAGGAGGGACAGGCTGGTGACCACAGATTTCCCAGGTGCTGGCTAATCCCTGTGGCAGATTTTTGGGCTGGTCAGTGCCCAGCACCTGCAGCTCTGGAGCCTTCCTTGATGTTGCATGAGAGAGAAGAGAGAAGTGTCCTGGCTCCCACATCCTTTCACTGGGCTGTGGTGGAGCAGAAAACAGTTTTGGTGGTTTTTTTCCATGGGGGTTCCATGCAGGAAAAAGCTGGAGTGGGACTGGAGCCATGGCAGGGATGAGCAGCACTGGTGGGAAGGATGTCCATGCTGCAAATCCAGGCACTTCCAATATTTCTGATGGAATTGGGTGGTGCATGGAGCAACAGGAATTAGGGAAACCTCCTTCACTCTGTGTCATCCAGCCAGGAAAAAACCCTGAGCTTGGATTTGGGGAGAATGTGGGGAAGTGTGTGGTGAAGCAAACACCTCAAGACTGGGAGTTGGGGTCAGCCCTGCACTAAGCTCAGTTCCAGGCTGAGCTTTGGGGCAGTTTTGCTCAGCCCTTGCAATCGAAGCTCTTTCCCAATTTGGGCTTCCCAGGGTCCTTCTGAGCCCTGAGGAGCAGACACTGCCAGGAACTGGAGGCTTTTGCAAGACAGCAAATCTTTGGTTGGATGCCAGGAGCCAGAGTAGTGAAAAAAAACCAAGAAGTATGTTGAAAAATCTGTTAACCTTGAACAAAAAAGTTTATAAGTGAATATTAAACCAACAAGAAGCTCCAGATCTCGTGGTGCCTGCTCAGGATCCTGTTTTGGTGTAGAACCCTTGGAATGGAGAGGTGAGGAAGGGCTGGGGGCAGGAGGGAGGCACAAAGCAGCCCTGAAATTGTGAGAAGAGCAAAAAACCCCTGAATCTGAAATCAGGAAAAGGACAAGAGGCAGAGCTGACACTCAGTGGGGTTTGTAGGTGCCTGAAGGAGCGCATCCTGTGGATTTTGGCAGGATGGATCTGGTACAGAAGAGAGCTGGGAA